TATAACAAAATAGTTTGTAACAATAATTAATTGCAATAGTTTGTTTTGATCTTAGATCAAATTCAGGATAGAACGTTTTTTTTGCTCACTATACAAACTGTAGACAAACATAAACTATTATAAATTATTAAACTGTATTTTTTCAGTTTTTTTACATTAGTTGAAATTTGCAAACTAAAATGATAATAACAATTAAATTGATGCATTCAAATGCATAAAATAAATAGAGTTAATTATAACAAATATTGCAAAAAAATTTTTTTTGACTTGTTTCCACGCTTTTGGAGATAAATTTAAATTGAAAGGTGCTTGTTAAAAAAATAGAAAACACATTAAACGTAAATAATAAAAATCTAGTGTTTGTAGTTCTTAAAAAAATTGCACTATAAAAATACATATGAACTTCTATTCAGTAATTTAACTATTCATTTCGTTACATGAATAACGATGGAATAGAAATTTCGTTATTCAAATTCAGGGTTTACTTGGATCGATTTTCATTAGCATATTCGTTTCATTACATTCATTATGAACCAACTGATATTCTTTAGTTTCAGATCATCCAAGAAAAATTGTAAATTTCTATTCGAGTAAATATTGATTGTGCTTTCTTAAAGAATATGGTTCCAGCATATTGATTTTTTTTAACTCTCCTTTGTCTGGTTATAATTTTCAATAAAATCTTAAATAAAACCACGGCATTAGGAAATGTTGCTGAAAACGCTTAGCACTTAGACGCAGATGAGACGCCCATGACCCTTCAAAAAAAAATTCCGACGGTCTAAATACAAGCAAAATATGTCTTTGGTAAATTTTAATTAAAAAAAAATTAGTTTAATAGTTATTTTTAAAAAATTGTTAGCTTATCGGAATTATATTTGCATTAAAATATAAATTAAGAAAAAAGTAGTTGGAAATTTTTTTTTATTCATGTTCCAAAATTTATCAATAGTTTATTTTGTAGTTAAAAGAAGTACCAATGTCGGATAACTGTTTTTTTTTTGGATCCAAATAACTGCGAATAAGTGCAAATTCAAAAAAAAAATGTTTGGAAGTGAGCCGTGTTAGGAAGATTTTACCTTTATTGTTGATAAAAACAGGGGTATGTCATGCTGAATTTCACAACCATAAATGATTGAAATGCCAAATATATTATTTTTTATTTATTTCGACCTGAATTAATAGAAAATAATCGGAAAAAATGTGAAAAATATGTTTAATAAATTTTCTGTGGCAAGGGTCAAATCTGATAATCACAGCAACAGCTAATAAATCTAGTCTGAATCTGACATTAATCTCTGGCCAATGATTATTCAAAATCTGCTACTCTATCTGATTGCAAAAAAACCCAGTTTTATAAGTAGTGAGAAGATATTTCTTTTTGAATAACGTAAGCCTTCAAATTTGAATACAACGAGAACATATGAGCGAAAACTATATTTAAAAAAATTAATTATAACTTTAATATGACGCATCTTTCGTTGTATGACTATTATGTATTGTAATAAATCTATTATAAAAAAAGGAAATGAAAACAAGGAATTTTTTTTTTAAAAAGAAATTAGAATGAAAATAAATAATAAGAATTCAATGAATAATAAAAATTGCTTCTGTATTAGAATGGAAATTCTATACGTTATTCACTTTTGCCGAACATTTAATTTTAACTGCAGTAAAGCTTAATTACATAATTTCAATCTAATATTTTTTCAAACTTTTGCACAATTTTTCATTTAAAGTTTAAGTGAGTCAAAATACTCTCCTCTTCATAGAACCGACAATGAAAAAATATAGAAGTGTTTCATTGAGGTTGCTGAACTCCAGGTGAACTATCAGTTAATGATACGACACACACGAATTCATAGAGCGACTTAAGGATCAATGACGAACGACTTGACTGGGGATTCCCCTTTTTTGTTATTTAGTTATTGTTACAGATACAGTCTTGTGCGCTCAATTGTTGTTGTTGTTCATTTACGTCGCACTAGAGCTGCACAATTTGCTATTGGCGACGATCTGGGAAACATCCCTGAGGATGATCCGAAGACATGCCATCACAATTTTGATCCTCTGCAGAGGGGGTGGCACCCCCGCTTCGGTAGCCCGACGACCTGCACGCGAAGTCTAGCACTTTACGGTAGAACAGTTGAACAAGGACCAATACCGCACACTCTCGGTCCTTACGCAGGTTGATCCAAGTGGTCACCCACCCGCACACTGACCGCAGCCAGTGATGCTTGGCTTCGGTGATCTGCTGGGAACCGTGTCTTAACGATCAGTCCACTGCGGGACTGCGCTAAATTGAAAGAATGGCTTAAAAAATAATTTTTGGTACAAAAACAGCTTTTTTTTTCTTTTCTTCCAGACGTGGACACGTACCTAGGTTTGCAAAACCCTTAACCGTATAGTCCACGTCTGGACGACAGTCTAGCTCGCACAAAACTCGGCACATAAGAAAACCATTACAAAATTCATAACTGCACAAAACAGATGATACAGAAACAGCTGGCACAAACAAGATAGGTAGGTAGGCTTTTTATTTAGGTCACACTAGAGCTGCCCAATTGGCTATTGGCGACTGCCTGGGATATGCCCCCGATAATGATCCGACGACATGTCATTGCAATTTTGATCCTCTGCTGTGGGGTTGGCTCCTTCGCTTTGGTCGTCCGACGACCTGCTCTCGAAGTGGAGCACTTTACAATGGAGTAGTTTTAGGAGGACCGATACCGTGCAACCTCGTTCCCTACTTTGACTGATCAAAGTGGTCACTCACCCGCTTACTGACCTCTGGAAACCGCGTTTTTACGATTAGTCCACGGCGGGGCAGCTCACACTCGAAAAGTACAGTTCAAAGATACATCCTGGATTATGGTGGGATATGAACCCGCTACCTTCAGACATTAGAATTTGGTGAAAAGAACATAACTCCTCGGTAAGGAGAGATTCTCGCTGAATCCCGTGATCATTTAATGATGCCAAATTTTATATGTTATCTTTAAACGTTGAAATAGCTCTGGGATACAACAGTAACTGGAATCTACACAGACAAAAACGTTTGGCAATGAAGGATATAACCATTATACCAAAGTAATGAGTTCGCCGGTTTGATGTCCAATTTAGGATTTTGATTTTTCTCTGATCTATTCAATTACTACTCCCTGTTCTCTAGAGCAATAAAATTGCAGATATGTAAACAGTTTAAATTGTTTTGGTTCGAAATGACATTACAATACTATGTATTTCAAAAATCTGAAAAGTCTTAGTTTAAGAAAAATTATTTTAGTTTGATTAAAAATATTAATTTTAAATCAGAATACGAGAATTCTCATTGGAGATAGACGTATTCGTAAGAGAATATGGTTTATGATTACAGTAAAGTGTTGCATCTTATTTTATAGTTTTTATGTAATAGACATTTATGAAGAGGATTCAACAACTTTACCTGAGTCTCACAGTTCGATTCGCATCAGCAAAATTTTAAATAATTTGATTATTTCTCACATTTGTTTGAAACACAAATATTCGAACTGTTGTCACCAAACATCAATTTTATAAAAAATCATTTAAAATTATTTATTTAATGAAGATGTGGAAATATTCATATCGACCTAAACTAAATAAATAAAAAAACTTCACAACAGGAATAATCTTCAAAATACCAGATGCAAAGAAAGAAGAAAACAGAGTTAAAGAAATACCGTTACAATAGGATGCCTTAGGTTATAGTGATGCAATAACTATAATTGCTATATGAGTAGGGCAATTAATTGGTCAAAATGCTGGAAAATGTACAATTTTTTTTTAACAGAAACCGACTCAACATTTATTTTGTTGTATGATTCTTAATATTTATTTCGCAAAACTAATAATTTCTAACAAGTTGTTACTTAACTTTTTCATTTCGTTTATTTAATATTTATAAGACAATTTTACAGATCAATCAGAGCTATTTTTTATTCTAGTCTTTGGAAATGATAAAAACAATTTCATACTTTTTTATCTTAGTTTATTTAAGAATATTTTAATTCATTTCAAATCCTTATAAAATTTAAACATTAAAAATATTAGTTTTAAAATTTAAATTTTCGTTTTGGCAGATGATTGTATTTCATTAATTATAAGAACAATGATACTGGTACTTAAAAAAATTGTTTTGTGCTTATTCTTCATGGTGATAATTTAAATATATTTTAATCCTTTTTTAACCTGTATTGTTAATTTAATCAAGATTTCCAGATTTATAGTGTACAAATATTTTTGCAGTTTATGTTACAAATATGCATGTATTATCATAAACAAGAGAGACTTTACTTTCATATAACATTTGAAAATATACACTTGATCAAATATTCTTAAATGTTATTTAATATTTAAAAAAGAACATTTCTAATCTATTTTTTTATGACACAAATTGGATCATATTTTTATAAAATCAACAATACAAATAAAATTATCAATAATAAAACGCTGTTATTTTTTATTCGAAAAATTAGCATTACAGTTTAAAGCATTACAAAATAAACGGGATTAAATTGGAAGATTATAATAGAATTGGATTTTCATAACTTAAAGATACTGGGCCATCTGCATAAAATGCCAGTATATAAACTAAATTTTAGATCGCAAACTGTTAAAAAATTGCAGTTCGCCTTTTATTTCAGAACATTTTGAATAAATAAAATGAAATTAGCAATTTTTTAATTACCATGCTTTGAAAATATTTTACTTATATCTGACTCTTATATTTTTTCTTCAAACCGTGTGCATCCGCTAATTCAATTACTTCAGCTCATAGCTATATTCTGTACAATATCCTGCATTTGTTATTGATGTAGACAATTTAGTGAATTTAAAATTAATTCTTACTCATTCCAGTTCTAATATCAGTATTAAAATGCAAAATTTACCTGATTGTATATGGCATGATCTTTTAAAACAATTAACAAATCGATTAAATATTTATTATTTCTAAAACTATAAATTTATATTTATTTTACCTGTCTTGATTCCCAGTCACCAGCATTCAACTTGAGCCAGTCACCACTGTTTACATATTTACTGTTTTTATCTCCTTTTGTAATTTTTCCAAACTCCAAGTATACTGGCAAAGATGTAAACACCGTTCCTTTTTTGGTTTTAAAACGCACCTGATCACAAACAGACAACGAAAACATGTTTCATTCAAGCACAAAACACACTTCTATTTTCGCACGTTTTTCAAGTACTGAATATTTCGATCTTCGAATATAAATAAGAGCGTGCCTTCGATTCTTCTGTTCTGAATAAAGTTCAGTGATGCAATAGAGAGAAGTACACCGGCAAATATTCTTCCAGTTAGGATGTAAGGGGTGGGGTAAATTTCAACCCTTGCAGCGCCATCTGCTCGTGATCTCTGTCTTTAGGGTTATCCCGTTGGGGGTAGAGAGGGGTATAATTTTTGGCTAGAAAGATTTTTCCTTCTTCCCAGAGTACTTTATTCTCCAGTCACGTTAGCTCTTAAAATAATCGTGTAGTCTTCGGCGCAATAGTAAAAGAATTTGCGCACTTACAGACCACTGGGTTAAATCTTGTTCTATTTTTGACTTAGTCTGCAATCTTTTCTGCAGCTATGTGGGGGGATGGAAGGCAAGAAAATTAATAGTTGATTAATTTTCTTTAATATGGATTAATAGTTGATTGAATATATGGAAGATTGAACGTGTCAACCGCTTAGTTACATTGATTTTGATTAATTTTCTTTTTGTATTGATATTAATTTGTCAGATTATAAACGCTTTATAATTAATTGGTATTAAGAAGCAAATTAAATTAAAGCATAAAAATTTAACTATAAAAATTTAACTATAAAGAACATGTTTTATCCGTTAAAAAAACTCGCGTTGTGCTTCTAATTAACACAGAATGCACTAAACTAAAGAAAAAATAATTTTTTTCTGTCAAATGAAAAAAAAGAACTTTTAAACCGTTTCTATTTGGAGCATTTTCTTCTCTCTATTCTACATCTCTATTTCTTAATGGACAGAATAGCGATATGATGGGATTATTAATTAATAGTGAAGAAACGTAAATGTTTGCTGAGCGAAGAAAAATAAAATTATGCTCCAAAGTATCATGACAAAATTATTAAAATGATCATCAGAACAATCAATCATTTTACCATTTATATGGTAATTTTAAGGCAGATAATCTGTTAAGGCCGATAACCTGCAGATAATCTGGTAGAAGGCAGATAATCTGTTTACCTGTTAATCTATGGTATATTTAAAATGGCTGTTCATTCAAATAGTTCATAGGAGTTAGACGACTAATAATTATTTCTTATTCCGATAAATTTTTTTCAATTATAACAAGGGTTAAAGGGACAAAAATTATGGCTTCAAATGTTTGATTAAAGTGTTCTAAAGATACTAAACTCAGATATATCATACTATAATAACTGTTTAATCCTTCTTTTATGAGGTATTGGGATTTATTTGTTTATTTGCTTGCATATGTGGGTTTCTCTGTAAATAAAAAGGACTGCTTAAAAACTCTTTTCTGTTTAAAAAACAAATAGCACAATTTTACATAATACGGAAAGACTATGCATCGAATGATATAACGGGATTCAAACCCTCTACATATACACTTTCAGAGTGGTTAGTAGAATAGCAATACTGCGCAACGAGGTTCAAGTAAAACAACCATATATTATTGGGGACACCATTGCCGAGGATTGATGTCCTTCTGCTAAACGCTGGAAAGCGTAGAGGTAGCGGATTCAATACCTTTATGCTGCTTTTCTCATTTTTATGTTATCTGTTCTACAATTTGGCACGAATCAAGCAATTATTTGCATGAATCACTCGATCCTGTATATGTATCTAAACTGAATTCATTTATTAGAAATTATTAAATTAGAGGGGAAAAACATTACTAAGATGCATCGATTGGGAGGCAGCTGGTTCGAGTCCCACCGTGTCCTATGTTGTAGGTATGTGTTGTCTTTCTTTTTATAGTGCTACATGTAAATCAAGGACATATTGGCAAAGCTTTGTTGAGAGCACACAAGCCTGCGCAACAATAAATAAATAAATATTAGTAAATAGATGCATTCAGGGTTACGGTGGGATTAAGATCCACTACCTCTACGATTCCATTTTAGTATGCTGAACCAGCCCTAATGTAGTATTTTTATTTACTCTTTCTTAGTATTCATTTAGTAACAGTTAAAATATTAATTTAGAGCAACCTTGTCCAGGCTGTTGTTGTTGTAGTTCATTTACGTTACACTAGAGCTACACAATGGGCTACTGGCGATGGTCTGGGAAATATCCCTCAGGGTGATCTGAAGGCATGTCGCCACAATTTTGATCCTCTGCAGAGGGAATGGCACCCCCGCTTCGGTAGCCCGACGACCTGCACGCGAAGTCGAGCACTTTACGGTAGAACAGTTTAACAAGGACCAATACCACACAACCACGGTCCCTACGCATAGTGGTCACCCACCCGCACATTGACCACAGCCATTGACCCATACTTGACTTCGGTGTTCTGCTGGGAACCGTGTCTTAACGATCAGTCCACTGCTGGACAACCTTGTCCAGGCATTCGCACATTTAAAAATGAATTTTTTTTTAAATTTTAAATGTTCATAGATGATGTTAACTTATAGTTTACATAGGAAAAAAAACATATATTTGAAGAGAAATGAAGTTTGTTAGTAAAATAGAGGTTAATAAAAGGAGAATTTTTGTGTCATCTAAAACTAAACTAGCGCTGTTAAAATTACTGACGTTTGCTTAAAGTTACTTAATTTTATCACATATAAAACCAAACAGCATGGTAACAAAAACAATATTTTATTGTTACTTCTACCAAAAAATAGTTAACAAAGCACTTTGGTAAAAAAATACCTTGTTTTTTAGTGTTCCCATAAAGCTAGAAATACGCTAAATGTGTCCATGTTCTGGTAGTTTTGACCATACTTTTTTTCTCAGCGTAAGATTGCCGTAGGGAATATTTAAATGCAGTTGTGCTCTGTATTTGGCTTGGTTTCCAGCAAAATTTATATTTCATGCGAAATTAGTTTGAAAAATAACTGAGCTGGCCACCAAAGTATATTATAATATATATATAAAAATATTACAAAGTATACTACAATATTTAATTCATTTTGCCACATTAGTTATTTATATAACATTTTATAAAAATTGGAAATTAACAATCGTTATATTCTTTAGCTTACAATCATATTCGAAATTAAAGACTTGAAGCTATAATGTTCTTCCATTATAAAGTAATTTTATAAAGTATTATTTCAAAAAGTATTATTTAGTATTTATGAAATATTATTAAGAAAAGTGTTACGAAGTATTATCTATAGAGTATTATTAAGTATTATTTATAAAGTATTATTACAAAACTTTTTATTATAGGTATATTGTAATACTACATCTCCAGTCATTGTAATAAAATTTTATATTTATATTTATTAAATATTTTACATCAAACTATGGGTATACTCGCGTATCCAATTAAAACAATAAATGAAAGATAATTATTGAAAATTGCTTAGAAATTCTAGAAATTAATTTTTTGTACTACTGCTAAAATAATTCCTTGGCGACTTTTAATGGTAACCATAAATTAAATAACTAGTTGTGGATGAAGTTTCAATGGCAACCGAGTAAAAGGATCAGGTGGTTTAGTTTTACCTTAATGGAATTGAATTAGATCCGTGGAATCAAATCTGTGTTAATAAGAAGAAAAAGAAATTCAGGGTCTTTTAATTGAATAATTTTTAGCTAGATTATGTTATTATTTCTTAGAACGTTCAGTAATAAAAAAAATTGTTTATGTAGGTCTGAGTATTTCTTTTCCAACTCCAGAACAGCCTGTGCAATTATTCTGAAATTTCAACAGTGAGTGAAGGGAAAAATTTTAGTCTCCGACTCTCAACTGTTCAAATATTTGAGATATTTGCCAAATTAAAGCTCTATTTAATCAGAAAAGGGTTTGTTCGAGTTCCGTAAAATTTCATAATCTTTACTTTTTTGAGATGAACGTTTAAAAACCTGTTTTGTTTATATAATGACGTGGAACTAGTGGGAAAGGAATCAAGTAATAATAAGTATATAAAAAATTGGAATTATTTTAGCTTTAATAATTGTGTTGGTACATGTATTTTAGTTTTGTGCATAATTTCGTAGAGTTGTTCAATATCGAATTATTGATTCTTTACCTTTTCCCCCAGCACTATAAATGATTGTTTATTTATCTTTATTTGTTTGCTTTTATGTTTATTTTGATTATTTCGTTTCTCTTTGTTTAACAGATATAGAGAGTTTTTTTATTTATATTTTTTTATAAATACCCTGCATATGTTTCATGGCCGGTATAGCCTAGTTCGTAGGACGTTGGGCTTATACCAATGAGGTCGTGAGTTGGATCTCTGCTGGCCGAAGATTCTCAGTGAAGTAAATGGTGACTGGTGTACGTTAAATTTATCGGGTCACGAAGTCCTCCATGTTCCCATGACAAATCATACCTCTGGGGGTACGGAATTGGAGATTGATCGTACTCTGGTTCAGGTCAAAATTGCGATCTGTAGATGAATGAATGAATGTACGAATGCGCCCACCCTATAAACGGGCTGCGACATGTGTGTGGATAAAGTCGTTTTCTTCGCCATTCATGGTGATACTGAAAAATGGAAAACGCACCCACTGTCTTAAATTCGCTTTGTTTCACCAAGCAAGCTTGTTGGTACTGGCAAGTGGCATTAGAAACAACAGCAACATAATTGCTGTTACAATGTTGCAAAGAGCAAAACTATTTTAATATGTCTTGGAAATGTTTTTATTTTCTCTATTTCGCCATTAGTAGTGATTATCTGGAATTATCCCAAAAGAACATTAAACTATTTTATTCATGTTTCGATAATCATTTTAAGAAAAAAGCATTTCAGATTATTTTAAGAGACTGGAAAAGAAAGATCTCTTAACAATTTATTGGGTATCAAACAAATTTCTTATTGAGCGAATAATAAACAATATTAGATTAATTTATTATGTTTGCATTATGTCCAGCTAAACAAAACCCAGCTTAAAACTTGTTTATAAACGAATATTTTAACATAAAATCCACTAGAATTGAACTCCGGTTTCAGAATTCGACAATGAGATTCTGAAAACTTTGTTTTGTGTTTTATAGTTGAAATAGTTTTAAAACATATTCCATTGTTTTTTAAATTTAATTTGCTCTTTTTATACTGAATAGAAATAGTTCAACTTCATTTCTTTGCAGTATGATCTATTGATGGTTTAATCCTATTTTGAAATGTAAATTCTACGCAAAATTATTTTTATTTTTGATTAATTTAATTTTAAAAAAGCATTCAACATATTATGTATATTCCAAATTTTATTTTTAACTACTTTTAATTTTTGTCATTCTTCTAGC